GCACCCCGAAATGGCACAAACAGACTGCACCAGCCAGTGGAATTGAGGGTGGTTTATTGCTCCTCCAGCACAGCGCAGCACAGATGTAATCTGGTTACAGGAACTGGGCTAGGATGCCTCAGGCCCCCTTGAGATGGGGGAGACTGGGCCCCTAAAACTCCAGCTCCTCTCCCTAGGCTGTCTCATCCATCCTCACAGACAGCCACCAACCAACTAACCCACTTCCAGCCCTGCCCCCCAGCCAGGGCCGCATTCACCTTCCTTTGTTCCTCTCCATGGGGGGTGTCTGGCCACTGGTTCAACAAGTTTGGCCTTACCTCTGCCTAGTGAGGTTTTCCCTGCTGGGTCTTGCTCCAGACAGCAGGGGTCACCACATCCCAGCAAGTACCCCCACTACGTCACAGCATGCATGTCCCTTTAGGACCAGAGGGTGTTGGTCACAAGCTAGCAGCAAGTACCCCCACTACGTCACAGCTTGTGAAAGGGGATATTTGCAACTAGAGAGAAAAGCTGAGAGCGAATGGGAGGGGTTTTTTGAAGGGAAACCCCCCAAGAACACTGGTGTCAATTTGAGATTTTCCCTGGCCCTGAGCAGGAGCGGCCCTAGACTAGCTGCCAGCAACTGGCGCCTTAGCCAAACCATGCAATCAGTGCCCCCACCTCCAAACCCCTCAATGATATTGCACAACCATTTGGTGCCCCATTTAACTTAGTGCCCTAGGCGACCGCCTAGTTCGCTGTATGGACAAACTTGGCCCTGGCCCTGAGAATGTTTCCAGTGGAAAAAGTGGTTGTAAAAGGAAGAGACCGGGGGGGTGGGAGGAGACTGTAAACATCCACAAACGATCCTTTTCCTATTTCAAAATATACAAATTCCCTCCCTCCACAACCGTGTCCCTGTGCAGTGCAGACTGGCCGTGTTTCCATCTGACACCCACAGAACTTAATTATTGTGCAAAAGCCGGCTGAAGAAAGTTTCCTTGCTCAGAAAAGCATTGCCCACCCAGAGGTGTGAATGGGAATTTGACCAGCCCATCCAATACTGCAGCAGGAAGTGGCGTAAATGTGCAAGGACAGAGCAAAGACCTGGGACCAAAGGCCACAGGCTGAGCAAGTCAGTCCAGTGAATGAAGGCCGTAGCCGATTCAGTGTTTTGTCTTTTATGTGACGAGAGGGAGATAAAGGCCTCACTGGGTTCCTGCAAGTTCTCCCAGGGCAGGAGACATTGTAAGAAGCCCAGAGAGGCAGCGGTACCTGTAGGATGGATCATGCTACTCCCTCCATCCATCAGAGCAATGCTCACTGGGGCTGGTCTCACGTGGGTTTCCTGGGGACTCAGGCCTGGCTCTGGCTCCATCCCCTATGTGACGAGAGGGAGATAAAGGCCTCACTGGGTTCCTGCAAGTTCTCCCAGGGCAGGAGACATTGTAAGAAGCCCAGAGAGGCAGCGGTACCTGTAGGATGGATCATGCTACTCCCTCCATCCATCAGAGCAATGCTCA